ACACCTGAGGAATCATTCTCCCTGACTTCAGATTATACTACAAAGATACAGTAATCAAACAGTATGATACTGGCACAAAAACAGACATAGAGATCAATGGACAGGATAGAAAGCCTAGAAATAAACTCACACGCTTTTGAGTTTGTGAGTGGCAAGAATATATAATTGAGGGTTTGTGAGGAGGCAAGAACAAACAATAGAGAAAAGACAGTCTCTTTAGTTAGTACTGCTGGGAAAACTGGACAGCTACATGTAAGAGGATGAAATTAGAACATTCGCTTAACACCATATACAAAAATAAACTCAAAAGGAATTAGACCTAAATGTAAGACTGGGTACTATAAAAATCCTAGAGGAAAACAGAACACTCTGACATAAATCGCAGCAATATTTGGGGAGGTGGGGGGAGCGGGTGGGATGGGTGGGGTGGGCAGCTGGCTCTGTCTCTTATGGTAATGGAAATAAAAGCAAAAATTTTACAAATGGGATCTAATTAAACTTATAAAGTTTTCATACAGCAAAGAAAACCATAACAAAAAAAAAAGTCAATCTACAGACTGGGAGAAAATATCTGCAAATGATGCTACCAACAGGGATTAATTTTCAAAATATACAAACTTCATACAGCTTAGTATCAAAAAACAGCCCAATCAAAAAAGGACAGAAGATCTAAACAGACATTTCTCCAAAGATGACATAAAGATGGGTAACTGGCATATGAAAATAAGCTCAACATTGCTAATTATTAAAGAAATGCAAATCAAAAGTACAAACAATGAGATATCTGACTGATAGACACCAGTCAGAATGGCTGTCTTTAAAAAGTCAACAAACAAATGCTACAGAGTGTGGTACTCTTCTACACGGTTGGAGAACGTAAATTGGTATAGCTATTTTGGAGAACAGTACCGAGGTTCCTTAAAAAACTAAAAACAGAGCTACCATATGATACTGCAATCCATGCATCTCAATGGTCATAACAGCCCTAATTACAACAGCCAAGACCTAGAAGTAACCATCAACAGATTAATGGATAAAGATGTGGTACACATATATAATAGGCTATTACTCAGCCATAAAAATAGATGAAATAATGGCACTGCAGCCACATGTATAAACCTAGAGATTATCATATTAACTGAAGTCAAGGAAGAATATCACATGCTATCACCTACATGCGAAATTTAAAAAATAATACAAATAAACTTATTTACAAAACGGAAATAGACTCACAGACGTAGAAGACAAACTTATGGTTACCAAAGGAGATATAATCAGGGGAGGGGATAGATTAGGAGTTTCTGATTAACATAAACACACTATCACATATAGAACAGGTAAACAAGGACCTACCATACAGCGGAGGAAACAATACACAATATCCTGTAATAACCTATCATAGAAAAGAATCTGAAAAACAGATATGTATATGCAGGTGGCGCTAGTGGTAAAGAACCCGCCTGCCAACGCAGGAGACGTAAGAGACACAGATTCAATCTCTGAGTCAGGAAAATCCCTTAGAAAAGAAAATGGCAACCCGCTCCAGTATTCTTGCCTGGAAAATCCCATGGACAGCGGAACCTGATGGCCTACAGTCTATAGAGCTGCAAAGAGTTGGACACGACTGAAGCAACTTAGCAGCAGTAGCAGCAGCACATATTCAACTGAATCACTTTGCTGTAGACCTGAAACTAACTCAACATCGCAAATTAGCTATATTTCAATAAAAAAATTGAATAGACTTCATTTTTTTAAAAAAACCAAAAGGCTAATGAGAGAAAAGGATGTTATGTGAAAAAGAATCTTCAACAGATTTCAATATCTAATAAAGAGAAATTTGTATACTCATTATTTACAAATACTGAAAGCAAAAATCAAAATAAACAGAATGCCTACTTTTTGATAAAAGTCTTTGGCACTATTTGACATTTCACTCATGAATTTCTATTGATTGATAAATATAAAAATTGAGGTTTTAAAAATATCTGAATATAGTAAAAATAGTTGTTAATCTGAGTATTAGGCACATCCATCTATTATTACCATTCCCTGTACTTATCAGTATGATTAAAATATGTCATAAAGGGAGAAAATTTATATTTCATAAACTAGGTAAAAATGGAGGCTAACTATGGGAGGAAAATATGAAAAAAAGTTTTATCAGGTAAAAGGACTTGCGGTTCAACATCAGTAGGTATTTATAAACTACCACTTTAGAAACCAATTAAAGTCCAACATAATTATATAAATAAATCTATTATTTAAAAAATAGAAACCCCTATTATAGAGAACTATGTATATAGAGATAATGCAAATATTCAATTTTCAAATTTTCATTGATCACACATGCCCTAATGACAAACACTGTCAGGTATTAGGATTTGCTCACTGTGGTGGTTTTGAAACATGACCACAGTTCTCTGACACTTCTCCCACAGAGCAGAGTACATGCCCACTCCCTTGAACCTGAGCAGACCTTTGAGACTGCATCAATGAACAGAATGCAACAAAAGTGAACCCATATAACTTTCAAGACTCCCAACAGAAAACACCACGCATCTGTGCCTGTTTCTCTTCAGGGACTTGCTCTGGGAGCCGTAAGTAATAAGTCCAGACATCCAACGGCCCACAGTGGAAGAGAAATACCCTAGGAGCCCTACACGCTGAAGGCTCCCTGCTTCAGTTTCGAGATGGTACCAGGCTAAGGGCATATCTGAGCCACCAGAGCAACTCTGGAATGTCTATCTAGGTTTCTTGATGCATGAAAGTAAGAAACCCCCTTTCTAGGTGAATTTTATTTGTTAATGGGCACATCTGTTACTGGTGTAAGAAGTTAAAAGTAACAGAGCCTCCATTTATGTTAACAGGAAAAATGATTAAGATAACTTTATAAATAATACTGATCAAGGGATCAGTAATCTAAGAGTACAATACATAACAGTGAAAAATAAATGACCCCAGGGTCTTACACGTTAAAATATTAAACAACAGGCCAACTGGAGTATCCACTCTGTCTTTAGTGCTACGCCATGTGCTCTAAGAAATTATCAAAGGATAAGAAAATGTAAGATCAAAGTACTGGCTAGGATTAGACAATCTCTCCCTTAACAGTAACATCTCCTGGTTTAGCTCCTTCAACTACTTATACCATACTACACATCACTTTAATCAATTCTCTCTTCTAACTAAGAATATGACTTTAAATCAATGAAGAAAATAGAAGTGATGAATTCAAAATGGTGTGCATAAAAAAACTTGGGGTACAATTACTATTTCAAGCTACAGAAACATGGGGGGTTCACTGATCAACAAAAACTTTTGTTGACAGCAATTTTTGCAACAAATGAGATGAAATAAACATTTTGTTAAAATAGTATGATCAACAAAAACTGTTTTTTTAAAACATTGCAGCTATAATGTGGTAGGCATCTAGCTAAGCACCTAACACACAAAAACACATTTATTTCTTCATAATAACCCCAGTAGATACATAATAGTACTATTGTTTAGATGAGGAAAAACAAGGCTTAAGAAGATACAAAATGTACCAATGTTTACACAGCGAGTAAAAGAGCAGGACAGGACCTCCCTGGTGGTGCAGTGGGTAAGAATCCACCTGCCAATGCAGGGGACACAAGCCTGACCCCTTGTCTGAGAAGATTCCACATGTTGCAGAGCAATTTAAGCCTATGTGCAACTTGAACCTGCGCTCTGGAGCCCGCATGTGGCGACTACTGAAGCCAGTGTGTCTAGAGCTTGTGCTCTGCATCAAGAAGTCACGGCAATGCACCGCAAAGAACAGCCCCTGCTAGTAGAAACTAGAGAAACTGAACGCAGCAACAGAGACCTAGTGTAAACAAAAATAAATAAATTATGTAAAAAGTTTTAAGAAGTAACGAAATAAGGAGCAGGATAGAACTGAGGAGTTGGAATCAGAATAGTAAACTCTCAGCTGACTTATACTCCAGTCTGCCACCAGGACTGCAAGTTAATCTTATGGACAAATGTAACAGTTGAATCAATGTGTACAAGAGTTGAACTAAAATCAAAGAGATAAAAGGAACTTAAAATCTTAATCCCTGTGGCTCCTCTACAAAGGAATTACAAACACCATAGCGAATAAATAAATTCTAAACCACACAACAACTATTTGTAAGATTAATAGTAATTCTGCTAGCTGAATTCTCAGATTCACTTGTATTTGACAGACATTTTCAATATTCAAATGTATTTCTGGAATGGAGAAAAATGTAAGTCCAAAAGAGAATAGTGGGCTTCCCTGATGGCTCAGTGAAGATCCCTAGAGAAAACAAATGGCAACCCACTCCAGTATTCTTGCCTGGGAAATCCCATGGACAGAGAAGCCTGGGGGGCTACATCCATGGGGTCGAAAAGGAATCAGACACAACTTAGTGACTAAACAACAACCAAAGAATATATTACTTACCTACTTTATTTTGTAGCCTATAAGATTTTTACCTTTTAGTTTTCTAGGGTAGACAAAAACCATGCAAAATCTAAACTTCTAGTATCAGCTGTATGCCACAAAAATAAGAATTTCTATTAAATATTCATTTCATTTCCATACAGTACATTCCAGTAAAGTTCTTTCAAGTAAATACACAAAAAACTTAAGTTTACCTTTTTTCCTATTAAATACTCTAAACCTCACTAAATCTAATACTCAACTAGTCATCTCACTTTCACTTCTTTCAAAAACCAATGATAAAACTTTTACTTACTATAAACCTCTTATGTATTTACAATTCACTTGCTATATTTACTGGACATTCATAACTCACTGCAAAAGACCACAGAAAAAATTAATATGATCCCTTGTTTCAAAAAACCTAAACCTGTGTTTTTCACATATATAAAATACTAGAAATCACAAAGCTTTAAGAATAGCAAACCACTGGGAATTACATGAGAGCATTCCCCATTTTTACAACTGTTTCAAATTTATTGTACTGAAGTAAGTGTAGAACTGCACTGCCTACCTGCATCAGCTCTGGACCGCTGGCCAGGTGTCTTTCCGAATGGGGTCTTCATTCATCTGTATTTAAGTGAGCAGCACAGCTGCTGGACTAGGGTGAAAATTCAATATGCTCCAATTTGAAACTTTTCACAGAATTTCAATGTTCTTGTTAATCCATCATCCCAAGCGCTTTTTTTTTTTAACAAGTTCAGCAAAAATACGTGAAATCTTAAGTACTCTGTAAAACAGTGAAATAACAGTTCATTACTAGAGCATCACACAAGAGCAAACTTCTCCAAGTAAGCCATCAAACGTGACATTATTTTAAATGTAACATCAGTGAAAACGCACTTTGCCCAGAAGCAATTAACTTTAATTCCTCAGTCTTCAATGCCAAGGACTGCACAGAGAAGCAAGAGAAAAGGAAGTACTAGACCCTTCAACAAAGAAAAGGGCAGTTCCTTGGCAGTTAATTGAACATAATACAGCCTTGGGCTTCTCACGCTGTATCCCAATCCATTTTGCTGGCAGAAGTCAGAAAAGAGTAGACACTGGTGAGTCAAAAAAAATTTAGACTGGCATAGCCCATCTTCTTGACAGGACACAAAAAGACCCAGCAAGACACAGGAGAGAGAAACAGGTGCAGCAGGTACACAGTGGAACAACTGCTGGAGGATGACTCAACACTGGAAACCACTTCAAGCCTGAGCCACTGCTAGGTGGAAGGTCGGGAAACCAGAAGACTTGGGTAAGATAAGGGATTACAGTCAGTAAGACTTAGCAGTTCCCTTTCTGCTCCCAAGATTCCAGAAACCAGAGGGAAAGATCCAGTAATTCTGGAGGACCCTTAAAGAAATTTTCATTCATTCCCATGCAAAAAGTTAAATCATCTTATAAAAATGATTTATCCTTTAAACCAAATTTGGGTCCAGTTTACAGTCCACGTAGTAAAACATCTATGGAAACATATTCTCATAAACCACAAAAATATCTACCACAAATTTCAGTTCACAAACTGAACCACCTGACTACATTCAGTTCTCATGTATTAGTTACCATATCTACAACGTATAGCCATGTGTTCACAGGTTTAAAAACTAAAAGGGATGCATTTTCTAGAGACTAACATGTAATAAAATAGTTAAAATAATTTAAAAAGTCTAAATAACAAGGGAAACAGGAATTATTTTTACTGGTGAAAAAAATCTACATAAATAAAACTTTATAAAAACCTCAAGGGAAATTTAAAATCAAATGGACTTTATAATTCGATGAATATTGAGAACAACTATTGTTTGAAGCTAAGGTAGGAGGGGAGAGACACTACAAAAGTAAGCAAGCAAAGGAGATAGTATCTCAAGTGGCAGTAAGTTACAGGGCATCCCTCAGAGATGCGGCGGGTTCAGTTCCAGACCACCACAATAAAGCAATTATCGTCAACTGTCAACTATAAACTGGGGCTTGCCAAGGGCGTTCGCCATCTGCCCCTGTGGAGACTGTGTGCTGCTGCAGCTGTTGACCTTCAACACCCCCTGAGGGGGCTCGGGGCAGAGAATAAGGCACTCTGTGCTCCACAGTCTGGTGGAACGGGTCTTTAGATAGTTGGATATTTTCAAGAACTGATTTCATGACCCCAATCTTTGCATCTCCTCATATCTAGAAAAGCACTAAATCCCTTCATGAAGACTTCAGCTCCTCATGACTAGCAGAAAACCTCTTACTAGGTTAAGAGCTTGATTGCACTGAACTCCCCCTTCACCACAATCTTTATATTCCCTTTCCCTCACTACCTCTTTGGAGCAGTCTCTCAGAGCTATAGGAGATGCTGTCACCCTGGCTGCAGTCCTCATTTTATCCCAAATAAAACTTAACTCACAACTCTCAGGTTGTTTCTTAAGTCGACACAATAAAGTGAGTCACATGAATTTTTTGGTTTCCAATGCATATAAAAGTTACGTTCACATTATACTGTTGTCTATTAAGTATGCAGTAGCATTATACCTGAAGAAAACTACGTACATGAAAAAAAAAAAAGAAAACTATGTACATATCTCGATTTTAAAAGATTCTATTGCTAAAAAAGCTATCATCTGCCAATGCCAGGTTGCCACAAGCCTTCAATAAAACGAGGTATGCTTGTAATGAAAAAAAAAAAAATGGAAGCAGTATTACCAAGTCCATGCTCATCCTGCTTGCCGCACAACAGGGCAATGAATCCAACAGACAAGGTGTAGAGGCAAGCTGGCTGACCAAGGAGATGGCAGACTAATGTCTCAAAATAACCATCTGGGTCTGGATGCCAGGTTCTTTTATAGAACCCAAGAAAGAAGCAATGAGGATCCATAGTCAAAAGGCAGAATAGAGAAGGAGGCAGTGAGGAAGTAAAGTAAAAAGAGTCTTCAGTCTTGCAAACATCTCCAGGAAGAACCAGCCTCTGGAAAGAATGTGTAAATCTTTTTTTTGCAGCCATTCACAGGTGGGCAGGGTCAGATTATCTATGAGATGAACAAGGCATTTTAGTTTAACAGGCAAATAGTACAGTTTGTGGAAGTAATGGAGTTCCAGCAGAGCTATTTAAAATCCTAAAAGATGATGCTAGTGAAGTGCTGCACTCAATATGTCAGCAAATCTGGAAAACCCAGCAGTGGCCACAGGACTGGAAAAGGTCAATCCTCACCCAAATTCACAAGAAGGGCAGTTCTAAAGAATGGTTAAACGAGACAATTGCACTCATCTCCCATTCTAGCAAGGTTATGTTCAAATCCTCCAAGCTAAGCTTCAGCATTATGTGAACCCGAGAACTTCCAGATGTTCAACCTGGGTTTAGAAAAAGAAGAGGAACCAGAGATCAAATAATCAAATCGCCAACATTTGCTGGATCATAGAGAAAGCAAGTGAATTCCAAAAAAAATCTGCCTCTGTTTCACTGACTACACTAAAGCCTATGACTGTGTAGATCATAACAATCTGCGGAAAACTCTTAAAGAGATGGGAATACCAGACTATTCCCTGTCTCCCGAGAAATCTGTATGCAGGTCAAGAAGCAACAGTTACAACCCCGTATGGAACAACTGACTGGTTCAGGATTGAGAAAGGAGTACAGGCTGCTATTGCCACTCTGTTTATTTAACTTATATGCAAAGCACATGATGACAAATGCTGGGATGGATGACTCACAAACTAGAAGACTGCCAGGAGAAATATCAAAACTTCAGATATGCAGACGATCCCACTCTAATGACAGAAAGTGAAGAGAAACTAAAGAGATTCTTGATGAGGGTGAAGGCAGGAGAGTGAAAAAGTCAGCTTAAAACTCAATAGCAAAAAAACTAAGATCATGCATTCAGTCCCATCACTTCATGGCAAATAGAAGGGGAAAAGGTGTAAACAGGGACAGATTTCCTCTTCTTCAGCTCTAAAATCACAGATGGTGACTGAAGCCATGAAATTAGAAGACCACTGCTTCTAAGCAGGAAAGCTATGACAAACTTAGTGTGTTAAAAAGCAAGGACTTCATTTTGCCAACAAAGGTCTATATAATCAAGGCTATGGTCTTTCCAGTTGTCATGTATGGATGTTAGAGCTGGACATTAAAGAAGCAGAGCAAGGAAGAAATGATGCTTTTTGAAATGTGATGCTGAAGGAGACCCTTGAGAGTATCTTGGAAAGCAAGGAGATCAAACCAGTCAATCTTCAAAAAAATCAACCCTGAATACTCTTTGGAAGGAATGAAGCTGAAGCTCCAATACTTTGGGCACCTAATGCGAAGAGCTGAGCTTCTTCCTCAGTGGCTCAGTGATAAAGATTCTGCCTGCAATACAAGGACTACAGGTGACATGGGTTCAATCACTGGGTTGGGATGATCCCCTGGAGGAGGGCATGGCAACCACTCCAGTATTCTTGCTGGAGAACCCATGGACAGAGGAGCCTGGCAGGCTACAGTCCATGGGGTCACAGAGTTGGACACAAATGAAGCGACTTTGCACACACACACAATGCAAACAGCTAACTCGTTGGCAAAGACCCTCATGCTGGGAAAGATTGAAGGAAGGAGGAGAAGAGGGAAACAAAAGATGAGATGGCTGGACAGCGCCACCGATTCAATGGGCATGAACTCTGGCAAACTCTGGGAGATGATGAGAAACAGGGAAGCCTGGTGTGCTGCAGTCCATGGGGTCACGAAGAGTACTTGGCGACTGAACAAGAGGCAGAGAGGCAGGGTCCTTTGAGGCAGGCCATTAAATAAGATTTGAAAGGCAAAATGGTTGTCTGAAAAGGCCTTACAAATAGCTGTGAAGAGAAGAGAAGCCAAAAGCAAAGAAGAAAAGGAAAGATATACCCATTTGAATGCAGAGTTCCAAAGAATAGCAAGGAGAGATAAGAAAGTCTTCAGCAGCGATCAATGCAAATAGAGGAAAACAATACAATGGCAAAGACTAGAGATCTCTTCAAGAATATTAGAGATACCAAGGGAACATTTCATGCAAAGATGGACTCAATAAAGGACAGAAATGGCATGGACCTAACAGAAGCAAAAGATATTAAGAAGAGGTGGCAAGAATATACAGAAGAACTGTACAAAAAAGATCTTCATGACCAAGATAATCACTATGGTGTGATCACTCACCTAGAGCCAGACATCCTGGAATGTGAAGTCAAGTGGGCCTTAGGAAGCATCACTATGAACAAAGCTAGTGGAGGTGAAAGAACTTCAGTTGAGCTATTTTAAATCCTAAAAGATGATGCTGTGAAAGTGCTGCACTCAATATGCCAGCAAATTTGGAAAACTCAGCAATGGTCACAGGACTGGGAAAGGTCAGTTTTCATTCCAATCCCAAAGAAAAGCAATGCCAAAGAATGCTCAAACTACCGCACAATTGCACTCATCTCACACAGTAGCAAAGTAATGCTCAAAATTCTCCAAGCCAGGCTTCAACAGTACGTGAACCATGAACTTCCAGATGTTCAAGTTGGATTTAGAAAAGGCAGAGGAACCAGAGATCAAACTGCCAACATCTGTTGGATCATCAAAAAAGCAAGAGAGTTCCAGAAAAACATCTATTTCTGCTTTATTGACTATGCCAGAGCCTTTGACTCTATGGATCACAACAAACTGTGGAAAATTCTTCAAGAGATGGGAATACCAAACCACCTGACCTGTCTCCTGAGAAATCTGTATGCAGGCCAAGAAGCAACGGTTAGAACTGGACATGGAACAACAGACTGGTTCCAAATCAG